AGCCCTCCAAACTCGTCCGAAAATAAAACAGGTTTCTTCCTTGCGAGTGGCGACGTCCAATTGGTCGAGACTCCGACAGAACAGTCATTTATTTATTATCCGACGTTTATTTCCGATGGCAGTTGTCGTCGTCGTTATGCTACTCATGTCGATCAACGAAATTCGAATACCATTAGTGAATTATCATTTTATTGATCGGTTTGCGCAAAATCAGTCTCGAGCAACTGTACAATTCTCTGAGCAATTGTTCAAACAAGCTACAAATGTAGAAATGTGTATTATCAAGGGCACGAACATAAATTCTCATAAATTGAAATATTCGTAAAATATTACATCTTATAATTATTTTTAATAAGTTGTTGTTAGTTGTTAAAAATTTATATTATATTAATTAAATACGTACGTAGTGATTTAAAAGTTTGTAAAATAATATATTTGTTTAAAGGAAGTTTTAAATAATAATTTTTTAATAACAATGCAAATAATACGTTGTATAAAACCTAAAGTAATAACTATATTTAACCTATGCAGGATGTCATAAATCAAAGTGAAACTAGATAAAATTGTATTGACAGTACATATATTTCAATAATTGACAGTATAACATATATCTCTTATCGTCGTCCATTGATTAATGTTGCAAATTTTCCAGAAATAATCATTTTTTCCTAAACTATACAACAACGAATATTATAAAATATTATATAATTATTTTTAAAAATTTAATCTTTATTGGCATCTCTTGAATGCATGTTGATGTATAAAAACTAGAATTATATGTAAAAACAAATTTTAATAAAAATATTTTTTTCAGGACTTCACAAAATGAGATATAATATGAGATATAATCATTCCTATGTAAATTCACATAATTCACATAATTCTATAAAAATTAACTATAATATATAATAATACATACATATATATAGATACATAATAAATTGCAATCTTAAATATATTATTGACTTTTATATCTAAATTAGCTTATATAAGATTCCTCTTAGATTTTATTTATGAACATTATTTAGACACTTATGCGTATAAAAAAGAATTTTTAATTGAAAAGATCTTTTATAAGCATGAATGCGGCCTACTTTACAATCTGGTGAAATTTCACGAACTTGATATGATTCACTTCACACAGGTCTAAAACCATCGCTGATATTCGGTAGTTGATATCCCGAAGGATATAATCGGTTAAAATCTGTGTATTCGTTTGTTTGAACAGGTGAGAAAGGCACGGAAAGAGGCGGATTAAAACCCGGATAAATATTATATTTGTCGTCATGATGAAAATTAGTGGGTTGTTCGTACGGTATATTGTAACTAATCTGGCTGTAGGAATCCGTTGTAAGCTCAATATGGTGTATATTCTGCGGATACCCACCGTAATATCCCGAATAGTGCGGATGTTCCTTGTGATGATGGTGATGATAATAATAATGGTGATGTGTCATATTTGGTGTTTGAGTATTGTTAGGCGGACTTGTTGTCGTAGTTGCGTTATCTATTACGGTCTGATTCGCAACTCGAAAATCCAAAGTTGCTCGCAAATCGTTGGTATTTAGTTGGAGATATTCACGCTCTCTGGCCGTTCCTCTCAAGACATTGTGTTTCCGTTGACCCCCTTTGCACCCACGTATCATATCCTAATGAAATTTATTAACAACGTAAATTAACTTTCAACAATGTATTGTCATGTGAATTAAGCGTAAATCTATTTTTCTGAGAGATCACTCATTAATGTCCAATTAATTTTTACCAATGTGTAAATTAATCTACATTATTTCAATCTCAGTCTAACTTTCTTTTTAAAATTCTAAATGTTCTAAAAATTAGGAATACACACACACACACACACACACACACACACCACATATACATGATATAATTAATATACAGTAAAGCAAGCGATATTAAATTTATATAAAATATTATTTATTGTTTGGATATTATGAAAACGTTATCTTTTGGCAGAATTGTATTCAAAACAGAAGCAAACTAAAGTAAAGAAGTATATCTGTTATGATGAGATTAGTGCTTAAACATGCATAACTTTATACAAGATACCACTCCACTTTAAATATTTTAACATACGTATTATCTTGTCACATATATTTGGATTTAAATGAAATTACAGACATATTTAATCATTCATTGGAAGCTAAAGAGTAATGATAAATACGATGAAGCCTTAATCATTCGTCATATAAACACCTGTCATACAATTATGTTATTATCCAAGCATACGCGATAAGATGACCCGTTCTCGTATTAATTAGACCCAGCCGTAGGCTCGATACACATGTTATCGAATCGTTCCACAAGCAACGAAGAAAATTTTTTAAAAGCACGTTTTCTCTAGAATTTTGCCTCTAGTAGATTAAATAAACATATTACGAGTATTAATAAGCGATATGATACAGCGATACTGAAATTTATGTAGCACAAACATGTTGTGTTGTACGCGCGTTGTTGATGCTTTCGCGCAATTAATCGATCGTACGCATAATCAAATGTCGGCATTTTTTTGAGAAAAAACAGACACGGTACTCGTCGCTAAGTGAGATGCGCATCGAGATAAAACGTCGCGTGGCTTTCCGCTCTGATTTCCGTTTGCTCAACGTGGCGCGAGCCGAGATCTATTACATCCTTACCTTCTCTTCCGCGTTCCGATCGGCTTCGGTTCGTAATCTTGTGCGATCGTCCGCCCCGTTGCTCGCATCGGACTTCTCGGCATCTGTATAGTCCTCGTTGCTCTCAGCCAGATCGATCGGCTTGTTGTCGAACAAGTTAATCACTTGCGGCGTTAGATCGTTTTGCGACGTAGTCTGGGGTTTTGTGGGGTTATCGACCGTCGGACCAATTCCGAAAGAACCGGGATAAAAGAAAGGATAGGGTAACAGCGAAGGATACGGATAGTGACTGTAATAGGCAGCGAAGTACGGTGAGGTTTTTGGAGAGCCTAGGTTTATGCTGAAGGACGCCTGTGGTAGCTTGGCGATATTCTTCATGGTAGAGGATGCCGCGGTGGCTAACCCGCCGAAGCTGAGGCCAGTTAGAAAGGCTAAACTGTTAAGAAATCGTGATTTTCTCTTGTTCGTTTCGCTGCTCGCGCTGTCCAGGCCTCTCGATTCCTCGATTTCCGTTGGTTTGTGTTTCGACAGACTGAGATTTTTCCAAAAGATCCCCTTCTCAATCGCATGACTATTATTTCTCTCGAGGAGCACGGTAGCTTCAGGTTTAGTGACGTTAATTGGAAGTGTGTCACAATACACCTCTGCAACAAAAAGAATCGTTGGAATCGGGAAGATGACGATGTAGTTGTTGTAGAACCGAACATCGAAATCGAACGAATGTTCGGACGAATGTCGAATAGTTTACCATTGCAATATACGGCGAACGCCATTAAAACAATGATGAGGGAACCCATCGTCACCGCGTCGTGATCGGAACGAAAATGAGGTGACACCGCGTAGGCTCTTCGACAAAGTTAAAAAGCTGCGGGTCGCCCTCATGTTTGGCTGCGAGAAAGTGTGTTTGACAGATATCGTTATAAGTATGGTAATTGCAAATCGATCTAAGCTTCTTCTCTAAACGTGATAATTACATTTCGCATAGGAAATGTGGGCTATCAATGCCCGAGATTACTTCATACTGCTTTCAAAACTTTCATATTATAGAAAAGATCTTGATGAATGAAATACAAATGCTTCATGAAAATTAAAACAAGAATTTTTTAAATTATACAAATTAAAACAGTATTAAGTAAGAATTGTGTTATTAATTTCAGCAATGATTATAATATATAGAACTATATATATATAAATATGGAGAAATTTATAAATCGATATTTTGATATTTAGTATTATTTTTTATTTTTTCAATAATTTCAATAGTTATTAGGTCAAGAATTATTAGAATTTTATTTGGATGAGATGGGTTGGGTGTTGTATCTTATTGTTTAGTTATTTATTATCAGAATTATATATCGTTTAATTCGGGTATAGCTACAGTATTAAGGAATCGAATTGGAGATATTATATACAACGTATTTCTAAATAAAAACTTTAATATGTTACGTGTGTTAATATGTTAATATGTAAATATTTAATATGTTACGTAATTTTATAATCCTTTTTCTATATTACTATCTTATCTACTTAACTTTTTTTATATTGTAGAAACAAATTGTACCTATCCAATTTTTAACTAGATCAATTAAGTTATATTTTTGAATCGTTGAGAATATTAGTATATTGAGAATTACGGTTATTTTTACAGTTACTTTCAATAAGCCCACATCATGTGTTTTACATATTACTCATTTCTCTTTGATTCAACATAGCTTTCACTTTCTCTAATGTTCTCGATGTTTATAATATTGATGTAATGTTAAAATTACATTAGACAAATTTGAATTCACTATCACTATCGAGTAGTCTGTTTTGACGTCACATTATTATGGATATTTTTCGATAATTCGAATTTTGTTTGGGAATTCAAATAAAGCGCCATTCTCTTTGACGCGCATGCGATTTTCATAGTGATTCTGGCATAGTGTTCCTTTCAGCTGAACTTTCTGTACTGTTTATCTTTTCTTCTCTTCATTCTCCGTTGGAGAAAAAAGGAAGAAAGTTGAACAGTGTAAAAAAATTCAGGCTTCACGAGTTGCATCTCGTAGCATCAGTTTCCAAAACGAAATAGAACATTTCTGGAGTAAAAAATGACTGAACAAGAGAAAACTAACTCTGATATAAATACAACCGATTTGGCATTTGCTTCTCCGGAGAAACAAAAGGCCCGTGCGTTTTTACGCGAACGTTTTCTGCGTGTCATTAATGGCATTATCGGTAAGAAAGTTTGCATTTAATCTCTGTTTTAGCTGCATTCAGGCAGCGCGCTGTTAGTATCATTCTATCTCTGTCGCTCAGTAAACATAAATCAAATGATAAATAAATTATTGTAGTAATTTTAAATCGTTTATTTCTCTCTCAAAATTGCTGGAGTATTATGCCAGAAATTGCTTTATTGCTTTAATTTCATATTTCAATGATCCATAGAATTCAATCATTCATTTATTAAAATATATTTGTTACAAAATATTGTTAGAAAAGAAAGAAAATATTAAACTATTGTTAATATGCGTTAATATGCGTCTGTGTAAATAATATATTACAGATAAGCCAGCGGAATTTCATTTGCACGAAAATACAAATGTATCAGGTGAATTCAAGGGTTGCGACATAGAATGTTCCAAGATTTTCGTGAAGAACTTGGAAACACCAATGGGAACGATACCAGATGCCATCCTCCGAAGTGATGACATACTTTATTTAGACATAGACAATATTAATATCGATCAATGAGAGGTAGAAAGGTATAGGAGGAATAAACATAACAATATCAGACATGTTGTAAAAAGAATTTATATCTCTTTTTAATATATAATATTGTATAAGCATAATTATCTATATTTGATAACCTAAGATCGACGCATATTTAGCATTGTATTTATTTCTGAAATAATGCGTCTCAAGTGATCAATTATTTCCTTAATGTGCCTATTCTTTAATACGACTTGCTGAAAAAGAAGCAAATTTTTATATATCAGATTTTAATGTAAGATGTTAATGCGTATAATAATATCTTATTTGCTTTACCTCCATGACTTCTTTCCTCTCCTCACAAATGACCCTATAAGCTTCCGAAGTTTTCTTTTCATCAGATTTCATATCCCATTCCTCCTTCAATGGAATTAAACTTTCTATATGTGTATATTCCATGCCTTGTAACTGACAATTCTCGTTAGATTTTTCATATATCAATCTCAAACGCTTGAACAAAGTTTTGAGCAAATCTAACTGTTCGCAGACTTTTTTCCTCTTTTCATTCGCTAAATTTGCTCCTTGTGCAGTACCTATTCATAAATAATACATATACAAAGAATGTATTTCGATATTCTAAGCTATATTTTAAGTATCTAGTAAAGAAAATAACCATTGGGTGGTTGAAGGACTTTAAGAGTTTGAAAAAACTCTAAAGTTCGACTAACAATATCTTGTACTGTCTCTTGTCCATATCTACATAAACTAGCAGTATTGATTTCCTTAGCCTGTTTTTGCGATAATGGCTGGGTAGTCTGTGGTACCGGAGTCTGTGGTGTAGTAGCTTGATTATTAGTTTGATTATTTTGTTGGATCATCGCAGCATGTTGTTGTTGTTGTTGCAATTGTAATTGCTGTTGCTGTATATGTTGCATTTGTTGTTGCATTGCCATGGACTGTTGTTGCTGTTGTTGTGCCAAAACTTGCTGGGTATTGGGCATTCCCATGGCATTGGATCCAACATTACCAACACCTCCAACTCCAACTCCTACTCCCATGCCAAATTGCTGAGAACTCACCATATCTAAAATAACAATTATTATTTATTCCTCGCACTCTCAGTTTGTAATTTAGTTCTCAAAATTTTACTTAACTATTTTATATAGATCAAAATATAGTATATTAAAAAGATTAGACTAATTTGTCAATCTTTTAAATAACAATATTTTGCTCTTTTTCAAATATAGATCTTTTAATATATTAAAATTTAATAATCCAAGAGATTTTTAAAAAGTCAGAGATTATGAATAAAAAAATGCACAAGATTTAAAATAAGAAAATAAAGCCATAATATTTCAATTATTGAAATTCTTTAATATTTTATATAATTTTAGATATAGATAATAAAAAAGATAAACATAAAATTAAATATAGGTATATATAACCATTTTCATATCATTTATTACAAATTATATATAGTAGTACATGCATAAACATACAAGGAAAAAATTATAAATAGAAAGAAATTTTTAAATACTTACTTCCTTGCTGTGGTCCCATCAAACCAGAAACCATTTGTCCACCACCAAATTGTGTACGCATAGCCGATTGTTGCACATTGGGAAATCCAGATAAAAAAGGATGCTGTTGTCCAGCCATGTCGTTTTATTTTAAATATACTTTTAAATAATACTTAATTAATTGATTAATGTATCCGCTAGAACAGAAATTAATATTATCAGTCAATTATCATTTTGAGGTTATATCACATTGCATGTAACTACAAGACGTAATTTTTATTTGTTAATGTTCTTGCTATCGAAGAACATTTCCAATTAACATTTTCAATTTCATAATATGAAATATTTTTCATGAAAAATAAAGGAAAGCTTCTTAAATTGTCTAGCCAATTGTCTAGCCAATTGATGATATTGTTATATTTTTGCATTTTTAGTGGGTTACCTGATTACGTTAGTATCAATCATACGATATCAAGAGATATCGTATTAATTAGATGAAGTAATCATTTTACAGGCTTTTTGTATATATTAAAAGTCATCAAGCAAAACACATTTTTTTCACGTCACACATGGAAATTATTGAATGCATCGTTCAATACATTCGCACGCAAGCAACAGTTATTTTTATCATTACACTTGTATGCACTTTTTACATTTTTCCCTTGCAAGCAATAAACAATAATCAGGAGCTTCGAGAAGATGAAACGTAATACGGTAACTTTCTATTTATAAATGATAATACGTTGATTTCATCGACGTGACCATACGATTATCTGCTACTGGTAAGATTGCATTTCTATTCCGTATTGTTTATCTTTGGTTATCTTTAGCAGAATGTTTATTTTGCAACTGTTGGAAATTTTTTGTATTGAGTTGAATTATTCTTTTAAAAGAATGATCTAATCTTCACATAGAAAATTTTCAATAGTTATAATTGATGAAACGTGATTTGATATTTTTATTATTTTTCTAAAAATTATTCTATTTCTAAAAATAAGCATCAAGTTTGTTTTAACATTACTAATACATTACTAAACAATTATTTTTAATAATTTTTTTTAATTAATATCTTTTTTTTTTCATATTATTGATGCGATTAAACAATTTTTTAACTTTTCATTAATCAGTTGCTTATGTCTTAATACTAATCTAATACACGTAACTCACGAATTATATTTTAGTTAGAAATATATTTCAATATAATCGATAATTATTTAAGAAGAGATAACATCGAAAAAGTATTTGACGTTACATCGGAATTATATTTAGCGCAATTTTTTTATGTTTTATTATTTTTTATATAGAAAATTACACTTACCTTACTACCTACTACCTAATTATTTAATTATTTTAACTTTTAAACTTAAATAATATATTAGTCTTATTTTTTAATGCTTTCTCAGGATGAAGCATAAATACGTGGCGTCATTGTTCTATCATTTTGTAAAATGATAATGATTTGGTTTTTAATGTATATAGATGGAAAAATAAACAAATTTAATATATCAATAAAAAACAATTATTACGATAGAAAATTTAGTTGCATTCAAGAATATCATAATTGAATAAATTTCTTATTTGATTTTGATACGAGGAATTCAATGTGATTCCTTGAGTTTCACATATTAATAAAAGATTTTGTGGGCAATGACATTTAAATAGGAGTTGGAAACAGTGCACAAATAACTAATGAACATAACAGAACATAACAGTTTCAATTTGTCGTAACCTCGATTCATACATTCACGTGAGCTTTTTTTTTCATTAATGCGACGTAGCTGCAGTTGTCGCAAACGCATGTTTGATCGCGCTGCTTTCCAGCGAGGACTAATTCACACGTGTCGTACTCGAAAATACCGTTAGTCAAAACAATGTCAATACATCAGTTAGCGATTTTATTAGAAACATTTTAAAATAACTTTACACAATAGTTGTCATAACATAATTTACAAGGCGCGAACAAATTTTACAAGATCGCAGTAACAGTCACAAAAGACTGTAATGTCTGATAGTGATATGTTAATGATAATGATATATTTTTTATAATAGCATAAATGATAGGTCATCTCATGATAAACAATACAAATTACAATCGTGGAAATGCTCCTCTTTTACACAAGTGATTTTTGTTTGGATCTTATTGCTTTTATAATATAAACAAGATTGCTAAAATCAATTACATTTTTCTTACTACAAATACTTTGATACATTTAGATCTCGATTTTTTTGAGAAACTTTTATAATAAATTATTTATTTATGCCATACATCACGAAATAACTTATAAAAATTATTTTAATTGAACTATTTATATTGAAAATTACTAACAAATGCGAAATCATTGCGATAAATTATTTTTCATAAATTTCGTAATGAAAAAATTTTATTTTTTTTATTCGTAAGAATCTAAAAATAATTAACAAAAAATGTAAGTCGTCTGGCATATCTGGTATTATCGCTACAAATAAGTTATGAAAAAATTTAGTTTCAAAAGTCTTAATTATCTAATTCGTTTGACTCTCGTGGCGTGACTCTTGGTTGGCTAGTTACAATTTTTTGTTTTATTATCCTTATCAATTGTGCTTTCATCTGGCAAGTCGATGGGCGAAATTTTATCTACATTTGACAAAACTGTTACTGGACGTTGTACGTTAAGAAGTAGTCCCTCTTTATCAGCTTCAGTTGCAGTATTGTGTTCGTTCTGAGATTTTGAAAGGTTCATGTCTCGAGGGATTTCTGGTAACTCTGCCTTTATAGTAAGTGGTTGTTTTTTAATTTTTTCTCCTTCAGATATAGTATGTTCATTAGTCTCACTTTCATTTGGCAAATCAATAGGCGATATTTTATCTACATTAGACAAAATCGTAGATGGACGTTGCTCCTTAATTGGTGGTTCCTGTTTTCCTGTTTCAAAAACATCTTGATCCAAGAATTGTGAAAAATCATTACTTTGAGGAATTTTCGGTAGATTTGTCAACGAATCGTCAAACGGAATTTGTACTTTTATTGGTGCGACAAAATTTTGCGATTTATATAATCCAGAATATTTGGGATTTGGAGCATAGAACTCATTCGGTTTAGTCTCTTCTTTTTCAACCTCAATCGCCAGTTTTTCCAATTCTTCCCTTTCTTCTTCGGAAAGTGGATTAACCTAAAATAAAATATTTGATTTAAACTCTGTATTTTATATAATATAACGAATGTTGCAGTTTTTTGTTGTATATATTTTTTGCTTTATTGAAATGTGGCGATACATCGAGAAATTTATCTAAGCATAATTGAGCTTTACGTATCAATTATTTTAAATTATAAAAATAAAAATATTAACATTATTTAGAAGAAACAAAATTTATGTATATTAATTGTAATATTTATTAAATGAAGAGAAATTTTGAAATTTTATTAATTTAAAGATAATAAACGTAAGTTAGATTTATTTCTTTTATTAGATCTTTTATTAGATCTTATTAATAAAAATAATTATATTAATTTCTAACTCATTTCTTCCCGCGCTTAACTCTCATTATTCATATTATTCCTTGAGTTAATTTTAATATCGAACATTTTTTAATTTATACTTGTAATTTATATTTTTTAAACTGGTTTTCTATATTTTCTATAAATTTGAAGAATTATTTAAGGATTTGAATAGTAAATAAATAAAATAATCGATTTAGACAAGAATGCACACTTGACACTTATTATATTGAAAATAAGTTGAAGGTGTTTATTCATTTACACATCGCAATATCACATACCGGCTTATAAAGCTCAATCATGCGTAGATAAAATCTTTAAAAGCGTCGATGTCGATGAAGCGACAAACAACATCGGATAATTCAGAGAGATTTTTCTTTCAGATTATACGCAAACGTCAAATGAAATGGATGTGCAGAAAAATCGAAAATGCGATGCATTCAAATTAGTTATTCATTTTCTTAGAATTAAACTGTTTATTTGCAGCGGATACAATTTGCATGATGCAATCTTTATTTTTAATGATAAAAGTATTACAGAATGATAAATGCTCATTGAGTCATTGATGAAATTTTTTTCTGTACGCAATGGACTAAAGTTCATTCTTGTATATTATTCTACAATTCCTCTAACGCTAATTCAAAATATTTGTTTTTCGAAATTTCTTTGCAATTTTTCTTTTGAAAACTGTTTGTTGTTAGAACTGTATAGCTTTGATTAACTTTTGTAATTATAATTAATTATTGGCTATTTTTATATGTCTACTATACCTTAAGTGCGGGTCGTTTTCTAAAATTCTTCACCCTAGATCTTCCTCGATAGCGCCTACGTCGCCTGTTATCATTATGATCATCATCATCATCAGGTAATTGATAAATATTTAGAAGCTTTGGTTTGTTAGGATTTCCTCGAGTCGTCGTTTACAGTGGCGAATGATCGACTTTCTGCTGCCCGAACGTGCAATGGATATGCATGTTCTTCCTTCGATTCTTCCAGAAAAGTGTCTATGTCGTCATCTTTAAAATTGTCAGAGCCGTGAATGAGAGTGTGGTCTATTTTCTGCAAACTCTACCGTACAGCACGAAATTAACATCCCTATAAACTCGTATCTCGATTCATGCGATATTTATAATTTACTCTAAAAATAATCTCATACGTCTTTCTTTACCATAATAATAAGCAACAATTATTCTCGTATATACTTTTTGCATTATTAGCGTAATTAGAATCAGAATACCTTAACCGAATTCGATGTTTCTCCGAAAGCTTCGGCCAAGTCGGGATTTATTCCCGCCAATGGTTCATCTCCATATCTTATATAAACGGGAATGTATCCCGGGATGCTGGGCAAATATTGAATGGGATTCGAATCTAGAAGAAGTCGAATAGGCTAGTTTGAAACTAGGCAGTGAGAAACGGCTGTATGCTTAATATACGGATGATTGCGCTGGAAATGCTCACTTAGCAAAGGCGAGCTTATTGGCTATGATAGCAATGCGGATATTTAATCGCGTGCATAGAGATTAGCTAAACTAAGCGCTCAGTTAAATCCCCATTATCTGTGAATCGTAAGCTGTAATCATTTATGATGTAATTTAAAAAACTTTTATCTCTTTTACGAAGTTATTTCATTCTTTAAATTTAAAACTAAATTACGTATGCATGTAAATTTTGAAATTCTCGATCCGTATAATTTTTCGTGCGATCAAATCTATTTTAATAAAATTAATAAAAAACTGTATCTGGATTCAGTTCGTGAAAATGTATTTTTTTGTATTCTTAAAAATTTATTTTTATTTCTTTATTAATTTTAATTTTTGATTACAGACTCTAATAATACATGACATCATAGAAATTATTATTTCATTTTTTATCTCTTATGAAATAAAAATTTCATTAAAATTTCTTTAAAATTTTTTATTTTATAGTATTGTATTATCTGCATTTTAATATTTATTTAATTTATATCAATAAATCCCGAATATTTAAACAGAGTTATGTAAGATTTATCATAGTTAAATTTGGCTTCCTTCGTCGAAGTTAACATACTTGTTAAAATACTTCAGATTTTTTAAAATAATTTTCTAAGACAATTTTCTTTAGCTTGTTCTGTAATTCGAAAAGTATGCACTTGCGAGGTGCTTTGCAAATTTAATTTTACAAATTTATTCCTTGCGATGTCTCTTTAAATCTTCAAAGTAGCGCACTAATTATAATTCCGATTTGCGATCACTGCACAACACTGAGTCCAGAGTTCACAATGCAGTTGCGTGTCACATATTAATATTCATTCGGGCGGGAATCTTGATCTCGTTGTTTTTACTCACAGGCATAGCTAATGAGAGGTACCAGGAGTACCAAAAGGGATAATATGGCCCTGGTACCACGCAGCGTCCCGGCAGCCTGCATCTTTGAACGGTACTGGGCCCCCAGAGTACGGGGCTCTCTCCTTTATATATACGTATCCCCTACCCTCTGGCCGGTGTTACGGAGAGGCCCCTCGGGGTTAGCATTGATTCAGGAACAATGTTCCGTTAATGTCGAAACAAAAAGTCGTGCTCTCCTTTATTTTCGGCAATCCAGTCAAATGAACGGCAACTTATCGCGAGTCCCTCCCTTTGCGCGCCAATGAGATGACAGGTTTCGCGCGACCGATCACTATGTTTTACGTTCACCGTATGAAATTATTTCGCGTACAGGTGGGTCTTCTCAATTGCTTCTGGGGATTCTCTTTTTAGCAGTGAACATGACACTTCATGCTACAAACTACACAAAGTGACATTATTCGCGAATAAAAAAAAGCACTGTGTTGTATATTTTGCATTCGTATTCGTATGTTACAATGCAATTAATTTCAAGTGTATTACATTGTAAACTCGAAATCTAAAACCTTGAATATTTCCCGATTGACATTGTGCAATCGACTTAACGACTCATCAACGCAATTTTACAGATTGAAGGTCATGATCAACCCATCGTACATAAAATACAATTCGATAAATCATTGATTGTTATCTGCATAGTAAACTTACTAATAGAAATACCTCGCATATTTTTTTCCGTCTTAGATATCCTGTACATTTAATTAATGTATATATGACTTAGCAATTTATTTCCTTATTATATACATATAAAATATTTACACGTCCTCTGGATGGAAAAGATATTTTTATCGCAACATCCGTTATTGACGACGAATCTCCAACTTGTGAAAAAGAATGACACGCATCGAACAGATGACAAATTTCCTTTTCTTCTCGCAACGATGAAGCAATCGTTTTGATGGAATCGTCTTGCAATAATGAACTGAAAGCATCCTCGGAAATACGACAACGACAACGACGGACGGTAAACGACGTTAAACCAAAGTGTTAAAGCATTAAATGCCACGATTCCTTATTCACCTTGGTAAGCTGTTAAAGCTTACATTAACAACTCACTCGACAAGCTACCGTTAACTGCCTATCGCTTTTTTTTCCTCACTGGATTTTATCTTTTGAAATCTCTTTGCATGTTACTCTGCTGATGCCGTAGCAGTTTCCGTTTCTTCGTTTCATAATGCAATAATACCATTAATTTTTTTACATTTGCCGCCGATGATATGATATACTTAGACATTTAGATTATTTTTTTTGTTTTCTATTCGTCGATGAAGTATTTTTCCTATTTTTATTACCGCGAGAAATTTGTGTTTTTTAAAAGAACCATCAATTCATACTTTACGAGTGACTTTTGCACACGAATCGTTCATCAATCATGTTTTACAGAATAATTTAATTAACTTAGAGAGTAAGTTGTCACAAGCGAAGACGTACGTCGCGTGATATTCGGATGTAAATTATGCTTTGATAAGATCCCTCCTCTATGATGAAAAATTAATACCTTCTCTATAATAGATGATTAAGTTAAGTTAAATGATAATTCCTGGTTTTACAG